TTAATGAGGACTCATTACGATGTGCAATCACAGCTCAGGATGACGGCCTGGGCTTTATGGCTGTAGATATTACATGGAAGAGGTTGGTGGGGCTGTCAGCTGCAGGCGTGGCCAACACCATACTGCCCCAGAGGAACCACATACTTGGCGCATCATGTCGGGCAGCCTGTTGCGGCAGATCTGCTCTTAACACAAGAATTTTAAAAGTGGTTCCATAGTGTAGCAGTCATCACACTTACGTTACACACAGAAGGTCCTGTGGTCAAGCCCCACAGGAATCACATACTTGTGTTGCGCCTGCTGTGGCAGCCTGTGTGGATTGCAAAGACTCAGTGTGAATTTCCCTGTTGTGGAACAAATTTCTTTAGATGTGTTTGTACGAGACAATGAAAATGCAATGGAATACAGTGGTTTCATTGATTCGAATTGTATGCTAATGCTAAAGTAAAATATATTCAAATCTTTTATTTTTAAAGAAAGCTGACAAATTAGAAGACCTCCAACTCACAATCACTGTAATGCTTTCATAAGTAAATATACTGATTGATTGCCTAAGTAAAGTCGTGCATGGATTAATCAACACTTAAATGGTCACTTAGAGTGAGTTGAACCGCTTACCTGCTGGCTGTAAGGCAAGAGCACTAACCACTCGTTCACGCTGTTGCCATAAGTAGCTATAACTTTGGACAGTAGCTATAACTACGGATAATTAGTAGCGAGAATCTAAAAAAAAAAAAGGATCTCTACACACTAGTACACTAGGTGCACTATGGTATGAGATGGTGGTTATGGGTGAGTGTGTGTGTGTGTGTGTGAGAGTGAGAGAGAGAGAGCTCCTCATCAGAGCAGAGCTGCAGTTTTACTCAGAGCAGAGCTGCAATTTTACTGATCCTCTGAGTTTATGTGTGTCTAAAGAGGAAAACAGTAGTTGTTTTTTTTATGTTGTTTTTTATTTATTTAATTTTTTTGCTGATGTGGAGCAGGCTCGTTGGCTCTCCTCCTACAACATTAATTAACACCATGGCTCATGATGGATGACCTCAGCTTTAGCTACCTAGCTCCCATTCATCACCACATGCAGTAGGACAGAACTCCAAATCTTAAATTCCACTGCTCTCCTCCTTTGTTCTTACAACAGGCTACAGTCAGGCTACACGTTGTGTTTATCAGGCTGGGTTTTTTTTCTCTAATCACGACACAAAGATGATCTGCTGTCAAACTTCACAACAGAAAGGCTGTTGTTTGATATTGATGTGTCTTATCACCAGACGTTGAATCTATGGTCTGCTCCGTATCATTTTTCTTCTGGTATAAATGCTGCCTTTTATCCCCGTTGAAAAATTGTATCTGGGACTTTTGACATGAAAAATAATGTGATGTTGCACTGAGCCTTATTTTAAAAATGCTTTAAAAAAAACAAGGCAACATGTCTCCATGTGGCTGTAATCTTGTAAATTAATGACCAGGCACTGTATTGCTCTAATGTGATGGCTTGTTTGTCTGCAGAAAGGCTGCCCTCTGTCAGCTTTTTACTTGATTTCCATTCCAGTTGTTGTTGGAACATGTCACACAACCTTTTAAATTCTGATTGAAATTTAAACTGAAGATTTAGGTTCTCGACATTGTTTTAATTTTCTGGTTTATATATTTTTTATATATATACGTATACGTATACATACTGTATATATATAATATATTTATGTACACATATTTAGATATATACATGGTGCATATATATATGCAAATGTATATATATTTATATATATAAATATATATATAATATGTATATATATGTATGTTAAACTGTCAACAACCTACGACTTGGCTTACAGTCTCACATTTTCTTCTCACCACCACTCATCCCTTCAGTCTTTCCAACTCAAACTTTCCTCTTGTGAAGGAGATATTTTTTCAAAACTTGTGGGAATGTTTTTCTTCCTAATTGCTGAATGCAGCGCACGTTCTGGATCCATGTGTGTCGACGAAGTCCATACTGCTCAGTCCAGATCTGTCCATGTGTGACATTTTTAACTGCCGAAGTTTCCAACACCATCTGCAGTATTCTTTGAAAATAAGTCCCTGAGTGATTGATTTGTGCACGCCTCAAATTCGGCAGCAGAGACGCCACACTGAGCAGAATGTCAGTTAATTCAGTCTCTGATTGACATCCTGGCGCTCACTTTCAGTAGACGCCACAGGGAGTGTGTTTTCATACTTCTACAATGTTTTTAGTTCTGTTTTCAGTTTTCTCTTTGAGTTCTACTTTCACACTGAAATCACGAGAGGAGCATCACTTTATTCCTGAGCCTTTTTTATTTTCACCTCCTGTTATTCAGTTACGGGTCATGATTGAAGAAGAATCATTTTAACGTTAGGAAAATGTAGTATTATATTCAAAATAAACATCTGAAAAGTTTGTGGTGAGACTGTATTTTATGAATTTTTGGCAACGTGTTGAAGTATAAAGTCAGATAAAGTAAAACCTCAGTAAAAAATCAGCCAAACTAGTACTGATGGAATGAACAATCGATGCTGTATTTCTGGATGCTGTTTTGCAATTTTATTTAGAGGATGTGCTTGGATGATCCCTGGTTCAAATGTTGACCCATTCAGGGATGTGATGTGTTGAAGACGCACCAAAAAACTCAGTTCATAGTGTATACTACTGCTCCTCTTGTTGCCTGTGTTCAGATTAAGAGGCTCCAGTATTTATGGTTGGGATGTCTCAGGAACTGGTCCATGGTGAGGTGATATTAAGAATTAAGTGTATTTAAGAATGTTTTTGATGTTGTTTGAATTAGCTGTAAAGCTCCTATTTCCTGACAACTAAATATATGAATAACACTTTATAATCCTGACCGTTTCGGTCCAGGTCTTTAACAGTGTCCCAGGAGACTATGTCTTATGGTAATTGCTGGTATGAACAGATTTCTACCACTAAATAAATTATATTTTTTATCCCTTTAACTTCATGTTGTCACAATAGAAACCTTACACTTGACCTTTTTACCGCCTTTATTCCCTGTGTCTCATTTTACTCCAGCGACACAGATGATTGTCCATGTTGCTGACATTAAAGTCAATTCTAACCCAATGGAGCACAGTTAGGTGAGTCTAATCTGCTGATTGCACATAAATCCTAGCCTGTTATTTAGACCAGAGGTGACAGTTTGTTGTCAGAGACTTGAATCGTCTGCACCGTGGCTTCACCGTGTACTGTAGCTGCTGCTCAAATATTGAGACATTCGTTCATGCAAACACAGTCGACTCAGTGATGTATGGAGACCCACTGGATCTACCTGCTGCGAGATGTCATACGTTGTCTGTAATTAGTGAGTCAGAGCGCTGCACTTCATTTGGCAGCTGCAGTGATAATTATAATTTCCTGCATGTGAAGGAACAAATGTCATTGTTGGTTAGTGCAGGAAGGAACACTGGCTGTGAAGGGAAAACTTACCCACCGTCGCTGTGCGCACGTGTACTGGTGAATGCTCAGTCTGTTAATGTGTTTAGGGAGGTTTTAAAAACAATCCATGACAAGGGATTACTATTGGACAATTGTTTCCACTGCAGAACTGAGCTGTTGTACTGAACCAGAGTTGGTGAGAAAAAGGTTTCTTTGTGACTCGTCTAGGCACACTTTTCTGAACTTCCTGACGTCAGAATGGAACCTTTAAACTTGAACTTCCACAGCGTCTCATTTCACCATGACGACAGATAATTGTCCACATTGCTGACATTAAAATTAATTCTAATCCAGTGAAGCAGAGTTAATTGACTCTAAGCTGCTGATTGCAAATAATTCCCACCCTGTTATCAGGACCAGAGGTGACAGTGTTACGGTACAGACCACTGGTATTTCAGCTCTGTTGTCAGAGATGTAAAACTGATCTATCAGCAGCCTATACTGTCAGGCATCCCGGTCCAGTCTTGTTGTGATTTTTACTATGATTGACTTCATGAGTTTGATTATACATCAAATATTTTTTTTTTTCAGAAACCTCTAGTCTAGAACAATGTTTTGTGTGATGGCTGCTGATGGTGTGCTGTATTTTTTTGTCCTTCAGCAACAGTGTGTGTGTAACATTTAGGAGTGTTTCCCAATCATTAAACACAAAAACTATACATAAAAGAAATATAATGATCTTGTACTTTCAATTCATTCACAATTTACTTTGTATTAACCCCAGCCTGTTGAGTTAAGCACTACACAGATATACTCACAGGAATTGAACAAAAGACACGCTCGAAGGTCTTCTCCAACAGCTCTGAGTCTCTCTGTGTCTTTAGTTTTTAATAGCCATCTGCTCCTATTGTTCCTTTCTATTTGTACAAACAATCCAACAGCAGTTACGTCTCTGAAAACAAAATGTGTTTCCATTTTTTTTGTAAATGCATGAAAGCATGTCACTCTTTGTACTGTATGTGCTGCGGCCCAAATGGAAATATCAGCAGAGTGACTGTCATCATGCAAAAGCTGAGCTTCAATTGTTCTTGGTTTTTTTCTTTTGTTTGTTTGTTTTTTAAACGTAATCCGTTGAGCAGCATCTGGAATCACACACATCCTTCCTCACACACACACACATAGCGTCGCATGCAGCTGTGTTTTCTACTGCAGGAGGATGAGGACAAACAGAGTGAGTGTTTAAAGGAGAGGAAGCAGGTGGTGTTGGTGTGTAGTGAAGCCACTGAACATAAAGCTGTGACTCACTCCTCACTTTATCTGTGCTGTTTCTTCACAGCTCACGGCTTCACAACAGGAGCTCCATCCAGATGTGAGCAGCTCCGTCTGTGTGCGTGGACTGGAGGTGCACAAGAGCACCGGCACAGTAGATACGGTAAGAGAGCATGCAATCATATCAAATGGTGGTTCTCAAACTATGGTATGTGTGCCCCTAGTGGTACAGTGGAGACTGTGCTTTAAAATACAGGTTTTCTCAGTATTTGCCCTACCACGTCTGGAATCGAACCCACAACCCGCCAGGTACCCCATAAAGTGATGGCCTTTTAAACAGTGGGCATCCCAGTAAGAATATGTATGTGGGTGTAATATATTTCAGTAATATTGCATTACAAATGTTCTAGGAGCACTAATGTTGACCACTGTGTTCACACCATCCCCGTGAAGCAGACGTGTACGTTAACTCAGAGCTCCACCCTGGCCAAGTCTCTGCTCAGTGATAAGCAGACGCCAAAGCAGAAGCCCTGTCAAGTCCTAAGTCCTGATTTGATGGAGGGTAGTTTCAGGAAGAGGATCCAGGGAAAAAAGGACCAATGATAGCAGAACAGAGTGGTTTTATTAAACACCCCCTGCACCTCCTGTGGGCAAACACCCACAGAAGACGCCTTCTTTAGGAAAGTACCCAAGTTACTACCCCTCAGTGCAGGAGCTCCTGCACTTTGGCTCAGATTTGATCTCATCATGGCAGAATCTGCTGACTGACAAAAGGTTGAATTGGTGCCATGGTGTAGTTATGAGCTACCTAAGGAGTTCCTGGAGCTGGAAGTGACTGCCTCACTGAGGTTTTCTTACAACAGCCGGTGACTTTACGGTGCAGGAATTGTCATGCAGATTGGGGATTAGCTTAGCATGCGTGTAAATGTTCATAGTTTGCCTGATGACTTTTGTGATTGGCTCCAGCTTTGTGGTTAAATACAGTCTATTATGTCTATCCATCTATCTATCTAATGATGTAAATATTTAAAACTTAATAGTTGAGATTATAGAAACAGAAAGAAGGTTGGTAATGTGTATTAAACACACATTTATCTATTCGTATGTCCAACAGTGACCAGTCTGTCAGCATCAAGAAATCAACAACAGGTCAAGTGACACAGTGTCAGTGATTGGAACTGGACTGAAGTGGCCAAGAGGCCAACAAAGCCACAGTGTGCCTGAACCATCAGGCTGCTTTGAAGTGTGTTCTGGTCGTATCCCGGCAGCAGGAGAGAGTTTTTCTCCATCTGCTAACACAACGTTCAGGTAAGTCTTTCATGTCTCTCACTCTGCAGAAGTTGACTTTTATTGTCTGGCTGAGAGCCAGGCAGGGCTAACAGCTCAGCACCTGGCTCTGGCAGGGAACCCCCCCCCCATACGCGCACACACACACGCACGCACACACATCAGCTCCCCTCCTCCCCCACACCAATTCACTCTCACTCACAGCATGGTGTCATCTCCTCATGGTGCTGACTGGACTGGGCTGCTCTGTGTCTCCAGCTCGTCCTCAGCCGCACAGACACAGGAAGTTGAACTGTTTCCAGTTTCCTCAGCTGATCACTGAAGCTGAAGACTCAGAGACACGGTTTTATATACTGAACATAAATGATGTTTGTGTGTTGTCATCCCAGTATAATACAGGGAGGGGGTCCTTACATGATGTGCACACTGCCATCTAGTGCAAAACAGTGCTAACAACACTGCAGAAGATACTCTTGTGATACAATGTTTATGTTTGAGCACTGTTTAAAAACTGGTGAATTAACATTTGGTCATTTATTTAACTGAGTTTATGTAATTAACATAATTAGAGTTTTCATATATTTGCATTTAGGAAGACATCTCAAGTGGATCTAGGTTTTCAGTGATGTGTTCCAGGATCTGAAAATGATTTTTCTCATGTCCCTGTTTTGGCGTCCAGTGGGACTACGCATCCACATCTTAGAGTACTTACACATCAACCAAATAGACCTGGAACTATTTCTTTAGAGGCTTAGTCTCCACCACTGCTTTGTATACAAAATTGTCTGTCAAACCCTCCTCTTTTTCTCACTATTTTGAGAGCAAACATTTACAGTCGACACCGTCTTCCTCTTTATCGATAAGAAGAAGCTCACAGTCCTCTGTGTAAAACACTGCAGCGGTAAATTTAGAATCAATTCAAACAGAACAGATGAGACGGAGAGATGGAGTCATGGAAAGGATGCTCCCTTCACTGACCTCCACATCTCTTCTTTGCCTGTGCCTCCCACACCAGAGGACATGAAAGCTGTGAACACCAGTGCAGTGAAAGTCACTCTCTCTTTACTTTTTTTCTTTTCTTTTCTTCTCTGCCTTCTTTCTCCTTCGTAAGCATTTCATCAGAAGCCCTCTGAGAGAGTGCAGTGATATCGCGAGGCAGTTTATCACAGCGCTGTGTAAAGTGGACACAAGACGCTAAATACTAGCGGGCGTGTTGATGAATGCATCTCTGCCAGTGTGCCGCAGCTTTAATGTGGTTATCGTGTTTACGAGGCTGCATTTCAGCTTCACACAGGGACAAACTCCACCCGAGCCTGGTGGTGCAGCACCAGCACTGGCTCAATACCAAACTGTAGAACACACGCTGCGGAGCAAAGGTCACCGAGATGTGGCTGACTGCAGTGCTGTGTAGAATGGTGAGGAGTCAAAGCAGGAGGGGCAAACACAGGGAAAAGATCAAAACTTCACAGTCATAGTTTGACCTCTTAAGGTGTGAGCTGGAATCCTATCCACCACTCCGCCATGCAGCGCACTGGACTATTACTTTTAGACATGAGGCCACTTGTCGTACATCTTCTGTGACTCAGCTCTTGCCCGTACCTTCTTCTGGACCTTTGTCCCTAAAGCTTTTCTCTTCATCCTGCAAACTTTGGATCTTGTTACCACACCAGCTTGATGTCGCTGTGATGAACTCCTCGCCGGCTCCTATAGTGGATAAATGCACTCACTCACTGGAGGTGACTGTCTGCAGGCACAGAGTGACAGATCGCTATACAATTTCTATTAAATAACAAAAACTCAAAATCAGAATCAGACCTGCAGCCCGGGGGCTCGAGTGGCAGCAGCGACTTCAGCCTGGGCGTCGAAGCAATTTTCTCCTGGCAGAGGACTGAACCTGACAACATGGCAGAGCCACATCTCCCCCTGTTGAGGGAAAAGGAGACTGCTGTCAAATGTGTGCATGTGGAAGCCTCCAGGTTTGGCTCCAGACGGGAGAAACAGTGAGTCAGCTCTCAAACACTGTGCACAGAATTCCTGTGACAACATTTGAATATTTCAACATGATTTTAAGATAAAGGATACACAAGTCTGTACCAAGAGTGGTTTATTTAACTTTCAGATGCTGTGTTCACGTTGTTAAACCAAAACTGGTAAAACGAACAGTTTATCACCAAATCCTTAAATATGCTATATAGATGGGAAATTCTGCTTCAACCTCCGCCAACGATGCTCTTGATATTCACTGCCAATGTGAAGGAGACTCACTAAAACAAAATGTGCTCTTTTGCCACATATTCTACTTTTGTTTTTTTTAACCAAATAACTTCACCGTCCTCAGTCACTGAGCAACATTTTAACAAACCACAACTCATTATGGGGAATCCTTCCTCCTAAATAATGAACCTCTGAGGTTAATCCTGAGAATATTCTGGACTGTATTTGTCCTTGTATTGATTGTTGATGTAACACACATCCAACATTTGTCACCTCCCATGTTTATTAGAGGAATAAAAACTAGAACAATATTCTCCTGAGACACCCTTTGTAGGCTTGTGACTCCATTTTGACATCACAGTTTTGGCAACCCCGGAGAGTTTTTTTTCTTTAATTAGTTTTTGGTCGTGTTTTGTTATACTGTGTTGCAAATACAGAGTAGTCAGATTAGTACGTTTTATTTTCACTTGAAAGTGGAATAATGCAGTTGTTTAAGACCCCATGTGGAGATGCGACCCTAAGGTTGAAAAACACTGTTCTGAAGGAACATTTACAACAGAAAGAAAATGTAAAATGCATTCTTGAATTAAATATTCCAAAATAAATACAATCAGATTCTTGTAACTCAGATCTGTCCTCGTCTCTGGAATTAGAACGCATGACCGTTTCCACTGCTCCGTGAGCTTCTCGCCTGTCTCACTGTGACTTTTGTGCTGTTGAATCTTTGATGATGTGACATCATCAAATGTTAACACGATCTCATGACATGATCAAGGTTGTTGTTCTGCTTGTTTTTTTTTTAACCAGATGTATTCCTCGACTGCGCCATCTCACCAACATCCTTCAATAATGTATCGGTCAGTTCTTGGTCCATGTTCCTTTTTCTGCTTGGTGTACAGCAGCCTTGATAACTGGGTTCCTGTAGAACAGAATCTTCTATGGCTACAGAGCAAATCTCCAAGGTTTTTTTTCTATATACTTCTTTTCAAAATAAGGCAAATAATAGTATTGTGCAAAAGTTTTTTTATGCTAAGACAATACAATTGTTATCAACAGTAATAACCTGCTGAAGTCCAGGTCATGGTCTGTGTGACTGCTGACAGCCAGGACAGAAGGATTGTCCCCCTGCCACCACGAGGCGGCCCAGCTGTGACAGTTTCCGGGACTAGAGGTAGGAACCTTATTTTATTTATACTTTTATGTTTAGGATTATGATGTTTTTTTGCTTCAAAACATTTAAATATTTTTATATAGTCAGAAAGAAACCTGACAGTTATTGTATACACCTGACTTAAACTGTGGTACAGTCCACCTCAGTCATGGCAGCAGGAGTTAAATCCTCGTCTCCGTGTCCTCCAGGACACAATTCCCTTTTTCTTTTTTTTTTTTTTTAGTCCAATGACCGTAACGTGAAAGACAGTCGTTAGGGATCAACATGAGCTTCAGTGAGAGGAAATCAAACAGCGAGCTAAAACTGTGAGCATTGTGTTCAGGTCTTCATGTGGGCACATGCTGTTCTTCCCTTCAGTGGAGTTTAGATTGTCTTTGCACCAAAGGTAAATTTACTTTAAAACTTCTGCTTAAACCTCTTTCCTTTTTTAGTCTCTTGTGTCCATTCAGTCTCTGAAGATTTTAGTCTAGTTCGACAGCTGGGTCTCCTCTATGTCCCTGGATGTAATACCTATTTTGAGACATTTTCTCTCCAGCCTTTTATTAAAAATGTACCTACCCAGCTGCAATGCGTGTCTCACTCCTGCCTTACAGAAGGAATGTCAGATGTTTGAACCCCAGCTTTGTGTATGGAGTTTCACCGTTCTGTTGGTTTTCTCCAGGTTTGATTAGAGATCAGGTTAATTGTTCACTTTAAACTGACCACAGGTGTGCATTGAATGGCTGTTGGTTTTTGGTTAATGAGTGAACATTGACACAAACTAAATATATAACTAAGTGACAGAAAAACAGTTTTTAGTGATTTTATGATGCTGTTTTTCTTAATTGACATTCAGAATGTATATTATATAATGTTGTCTGTTTAATACTGGTGCCAACAGGTGCTGATCCTTCAGGTTCCTTCCAAACGACCCAGTTGATGCTCACTGTGCAGAAAACAAATGTTTCCTCGTTAATATGACTCAGCGCTGATATCTCCATCTTCCGCAGCTCAATTATAAATGCAGATAGAAGTATCTCCACGCCTGGTGGGGCCTTTAATGAAAGAGCGTCTGGGAGTATGTGTTTGGTTTGCATCATCAGCCGCATCCACGCTGAGGAAACAAGCAGTTTCAGATGAGAGGCTGCGTCTCGTGTTGAAGCTGCTGCTCATAATGGGAATTAATGGAGGAAGTCAGCGAGGAATTACAAGTTCATCAGCTGAGCTCCAGCGCAGGACGATAATCTGATGCAAAAAAGTCCAAGGAGACTCGGATGAGATGGCAGGTTTCAGCTGGGTTTCATTCCAGAGTGGTAGCCCAGAGGTCACAGCCCGACAGGAAGTGGGAGACTGAATAATGCATGTGAGTGCTGACGTAAACGCAACTTTTTTCTTTTTACATCTGAAATCTGAAGTTAAATTCACTCTAATTGCACACTGCAAATTACACACATGGCCTGGTGTGTGCTGCATCGACCCCAGGCACATGATACATAGTATTGTATGCACACGCACCATTTCTGCACACATGCACACTGGTAGACTGCAGAGATAGAACAGCACAGCCAATGCAGAACGGTCCTGTATATTTTATTGTCAGCTTAGATTTATGCTCAGACCAAGTGACAAATGCAGCCTCTGCAGCCAAAACAAAAGATCCCAGCACGTCGTCTGGTGCATTGAACAGAGCCAAACACGTACACAAAGACTCTAGCAGGAATTAAAGGGGCGGTTTGTGTTTACATTCACTATTGTCCACTGAATATTTTTAGTTCACACAGATAAAACATGTTTTCAAAAAGACCACGTGGTACAGTATGATATCTGCGGTCCATTCAGAGGGCTGCACCTGAGAAGAGTTCTGCATGTATTTCATCTTTACATTAGGTCATGTTTTTTTCCAGTTATTCCAAAAGACAGACAGCATCTGTGCCTTAGATGTGAAAAAGAAGGTTTGCTGGTTTGATTTTACAAGTTCTCCTGTTCTGCCTGAGTGTGTGGGAGTTCCTCCAGGGTCAACGACCCACCCACCAACTAACTCTCCAACAAAAAACAGGTAGGATTTGTTTAATTATCCACTCTGACCACAGGTGTGAATGTGAGTGTAAATGGTTGGTTTTCTCTATATATGACGTTGTTAACTGGACAACTGTCCAGGGTGTAATCCTGCCCTCACCTGGTGACTGCTAGGACATCAGCGACCCTGAAAAATATATTACTCGCCTCAAAATAAATAAATAAAGTAATTTATTGCTAATGCTAATTCAAAATCCACCAGTGACAAAATCATGCCAATTAATAATGTTAGACAAAAATGTGATTTTTTTGTGGGGTTTTTTTATTTATTTTTTTGCCTGGCCACCAAGGTGTCTGTCCAGAAAAATTCTGTCTGTCCAACAAATGTAGTTGGTGACCCCCAGATCTGAGGTGTGATATGAAAAATGCAAACGTGTGCCTGACATGGTGTTTCTGCTGTGATCAATTCTTCAGCCTGCTCTCAGTTCTAAATATGTTGCTGTGGAGTGGATACAATATGTTCTCTATTTCAGTCCGCAGCAAACTCTAATGGAATTCAGAGGAAACATTTATAATTCATCCAAGCTGCGCTCCTCTGTGTCTGTGCATTAGCCTGATTGTGTGTGTGTGTGTTTTGTTAAATGAACCTGCAGAGGTTTGTTTTTTTCACTCTGAAACTGTGTGTGTGAAAGGGAGAAAGGATGGAGAAAGAATCTGTGTAAAATAATAAATCAGGTGCAGGAAGTTTTAAACATGAATTAAAATTTTAATCTAATTATTCATCAATTTTTTAGGGTTACAGAGGAAACTTGGGCTGATCCCATCATTCAGCAGGTGAGGGTGGGGGTGGGGGTCACATCTTGGTTACTTATGAACCCAAAGCCAATTTCATTCTGTGACCCAGAGTTGAGCCCCCTGTGATGATGTCAGAGTCAGTGGTCCACGACTTCATGTTTAATTCATGTCTGAGCCTAATGACAGAGGGCAGACGCCGGCTGGAAGGAGACCTGTGCATGCGTCTGTGTGTGTGTTTGTTTGTGTGTTCCTGGTCATACTTTGTACCTTTAAATTTGTGTATGTCCTTGTGGGCCATATTTTAGATTTACATTCATAATTGTTCTTCAGTCGGACTCCCCCAGTCGGACAGAGTCCAGACCTTGATCCACACTAACTCTACACTGATCTGCTGCTCAGTCATTTATCATTAACAGTCCTTTATTTCCCCCCAGGTTGGTGGTTCCTCCGTCCTCCTGCGGCAGGTGTCCTGCTGCTCACAGCTCCAGCAGCATCCTGGAGTCGTTCCAGGCTGCAGACACTGTTCATCAAGTTTTATTTCACTCAAGGTAACTTTGAAAGACAGAGCCATGAAAACTCAGGCTGGATGTGAGGGATTCACAAAGACGAGGACCGATCATTTATCAACAACAACACAATGACAGTACAAATTCAAACATACGTTTGACCCATACGTTCCATCCCGTCAGTCCAAAAACATTCAGATTGGAGATAAGGTTTACTCTACATTTACTCTAATAGTCCACAGATGTGAATGTTGGTGTGAGAAGGCTGCAGTGGCTAATCAGGACATTCAGGAGTTTTCCCAATGGGCTAGCCCATGTCAATCTCATTGCTTGGATCATGGGCATTATTTAAACACGTATTTGTCTCTTATCTAATCTTATTCTTGTGTGTTCTCCATTCAACTATAGGTTACATTAATTCTCCATGGCAGCGCAGCCGCAACATCACAGCAGATTAGATGGGTTCTATCATCTGAGGGAATTCTCCCCTCCGAAATATTTCTTTTGGTTGGGCCCAAGAGTAGTCTCATGTGCCCAACATTAAATAATATTGGCACAGAACAGCGCGATACGTCAGTCAGTGGCAATTGAGGATAGAAAGAGGACAGGTGGAGCCGAAAAGATGAGGTTACGACAAAAAAAGTGTTGGAAGAAGATGCAGCCAAATTTGCAGAATTAAAAGACAGATCCCAGTTGCAGCTGGTAGGCTACTGAGATATATGGATACAATTTTATATTGTCAGTGTATAATGTAGCGAACGTTTGCCGTGTCATCTTAGCATAGGCTAGTTTATTTTGTAGAGTCCAATATACACCATCACAAATGTCTATACAAACTGGGTCGTATGATGTGTGTCCGTTTCTATTCCCCAGCATATCGCCAATATGAACTTTACAGAAATATTTGTTCTACAGCATGACTCTACAGTCTGTGTAATGTCTTTAATGTAGGGCGAGGGAATTGTTTCTGTCGATCTTACAAGAAGGTGCAGAGAAAAGTCAGCAGGGGGCCTCAAGGGGCCGTCTGAAGGTCAAAATTAAATTTGTGCTGCACTCATCTCTATACTTTAATTTGTGTTAAATGAATTGCTTCGACACAAGAAGGGTGCTCTATCCATTTCTATAAAAGAAATGTTATTTGTAGGACATATACAGTATGTACCTGTGTATGTTTGTGTTGGTGTCAGTGTCATTGAAAGAGGAATGCTGATGGATATGAAGCATTACCAGGTGACGCTGTTGGATGAATAGTGAAATAAGATGCTCTTTCAGGTTCTTACCATTGTAAATCTGACTCCAAAGGAGTCAGTGCCTCACCCGCCATGGACCTCATCACTGCTTTGGCCTGTTACCTGTGTTTATCTGATCCTCACACAATATAACCTCCTGACAGATGCTTACCATGTGATCGGGCTGGTTTATAAGTTTCTATTGACCTTTTCAAGCACTCAGGTTGCATGTGAGCGGAGCTTCTGTGCATTAAAATGTGTGCAAA